TAAGCTTATTTCTCAGGAATAAGCGACTCTGTACGCAGACTGGTTGTTCCACTCCTTAACTTACAACACAAAAACAGCTTGCCTAACATTTCAGCACCAAGCTGAAAAAAAATGAGTGCCCTCCGAATAGTACTCACCAACAAACACTTGCTTTTTCCGTTCAAAAGTTGTATTTTCTCCTGGTGGAAAAAGGAACAAAATCCAATTTTTTGGTTCAGAATCTGAGCATCAAGCGACGGCATCACATCGGCTCCTGTGCTTCTTGCAATACGTTGTAAAACACGGGATTTGATGTTTGAAACAAGAGTGATACCCGCTTCCAATAGCATCTGCACAGCCAAGCCAGCTACATTACGCTCAACAAGTACCAGTGATGGGCGGTGCGACAGCATTCGATCCACCTGATTTCGCAAGTATTCACTTTCCTACAACACAACTAATACAATAATCGAAAGCCATCTCTAAGCGTAAACAACAGGAAAGACAGGAACAAAGCAGACCGTTGAATGCTGTTCATAAGTTCCGCAACAATAAACGCGTTCAAAAAATTGGAGCAAAATGAGAGGAAGAAGTTGCAAGATGCGCATCGACGATGAGAAGAAACGCGACGATGAATGATCAAAGCACTCAAGCAAATGCCACAAAATGCCTTTTACTAAGAATAACAAGACCACCTGGACAGTCGATTTGAGGATCCACATTTTAATCATGTTACCGCAATTTTTCAACAACCTCGGCGCAGTTGCGCTAATACCTAACACAAAAACACATCCTGAGTTTGCGCTTATTTCCTGTTCGATAAATATGATTCGCTTTTTCAGAGATGGCAAAAATGGTCGCTTAATTTCCTCGTGGACTCCAAAATGTCATTTATAATTGAGATTATTTTTCAGTATCTTTTACCTGTGTGATAATCGGTTCAATAGATGAGAGTTTATCATTGACACGTTCGTATTCGATGCTTCCCTCCAATGCCAAGATCGAGGCATTGTGAATTTCGCTTGGCATTGAGTCGTGGCGAATGCTTTTGCTACAAACTGTCCCTTCGATCACCTCAAACAAAAAAACCGTTTACTTAAGTAAAAAAAAAGGTTTTTATAAATTTTCGTCTCCACTCTAGCTATCATACCAATTCGCAGCCAGACATTTCGTGCTGATGAAGGGAATCTGAAGCATATTGCCGGAATATTATCCTTAAATCTCCTCAAAAATGCATAAAAAAGACTGTGCAGCATTCGGCCCCGCGTAGTTTAAACGACACAAACTCTCCGAAACGTAATTTCTTCTATCAATGTCGTCCAAATAATGATTAAAATAATAAAAGAAAACACTTGAACAACAAAATCATTTGCAGCAGACTTGATCACCAAGTGATGTAGAAAAATGAAAATTTTTTCAGTTGCACTGATCAGTGCTGCATGTTCTGCTGGAGCTTCTGATGCCCTTTTTGGCTCGTGGATTTGACCTGTAGCTTAAGTATTTCAAATATGTCCAAGAACAAACCGATGCCGACGGTTTTTCGACAGCAACATGGAGGTTTTTGATGTGCACATGCTTCATAACATTAACAGCTTTGCGACCTTCCATGTCAACTTTGACCATCGATGAAACACGATGACTCACTGCCCAAATGATTTCCCACCATCTGAATTTCAATCAAATGAGACACTAAATGAAAAAAAA